GAACAAGTCAGCCTGTGGGTGCCATCTCTGGAGAAGGCTCTCTAGGGATATTCAGTGAGAGTATTCGTTCCACTCTGGACGGAATCATCTGTTCCAGAACAATCCTACGAGAGCGGCTCAAATGCGGTCTAAATCCGCCCATTTTGTCTGCTTGGACTGTGCTTTGAATTTACTCCTTTGATGGTCCTACGTCATAGTGGCATAGATCAAAGCTTTGGCTAAAGCGAGGAAGCCAGAGCTTGTCGAATGAAGTGCTTCCATCCTGGGAAGTCTTAAAGGAAATGATTCACGTTATAGGTGGTTTCTTACAAGCCTCGGTAGAGTTTTGAGTCATCTTTGGTTGAACATTCCATCACGAGGCTCTCTTTGCTAGGAAACGAACAACACTCACTGCAGGCACACGTGACAAGATTAAGGAAAGGTGACAGATGTGACGACGGTCTTTGATTTGTTTTGTTATTGTAACTGCGGCCTTTCAATTCGAAATGCCAACAAACAAACATGTAAAGCGAGTAGATTTGCCAAGAGATCCTATTAAAGGAAATAACACAGGAGTTTTTCCTATGACGCTCAAAGAAAAGATTACGATAACAATGGTTTCAGGTCTCGTCCCAGACAAATTTTCACTCACGTTTTCGATGAAACACGCCCGAGGAACAAAGGATGATCAAAGGAACAAGAAGAACATTTTGTGCGAATCAGATGAACAAGGTAAGCGTGGGTTGCCGTGATGAGTTGCAGATTTCATGAATGAGCCACAGACTGCTTTTCCTAAATTAGCCTTGTTTGAAAATTCCCATCGGAACTGCGACAATCGCTAATGAGTAGGATAGCAAGATAAAAGAGAAAAACCCTTCAAAATTGCTCACCGATGCTTCTGCGGGTTTTGCTGTTCATGAGGGACCAACTTTGGCGCAGCTCGGGAATACATCGCGGGGACAGTCTTCACCTCAACCTTAACCTATACTTGTTTTCTCTGCAGACGTGCCAGTGGGCTCAGTTTGGCGTGAGGCCAGCGCGTATTCCACCAATTGTTGTCGCTTGCCCTCTTCAACAATCGCTGGAGAACGATCTGGCGTCGTGCCAACCCAACCCTTCCGACACGCCCCAGCGCCTGCAGCGAAAGTGAAAATAACGCACCGAATTTGATAGAGAATCTCGGGTGCTTCGAACCCGAAAATGGGTAAATTTAATGCCGCCATTATTGATTGAGGTGTTTTATGGAGAAGCACAATAGCTACGTAACAGGTGGCCATTCACATACTTAACTCGAAGCATAATTCTTTTTCCCTTGGGGTCCATTATAATGGTCACGGGTGCTTAAGGGTTAGTGGGTGCATTGTAGAGCGGATGTTTCCGAAGCATATGGCCCATTTCAGCCTAAGTATACCTAAGAAAAACTTCCCTCATATGCATCAGTCCACTACTTTCTTGCCTCTATCACTCCTTCGAGCCATCATTGCTCAAAACCTCTCAACTTTACTGCTCGAGTTTCAATGAGGCGAGTTCGATCTGGGAACATTTTTTTGCTAACGAGCCTTGCACGCAACCTTCAGCTATAGCTGATACCATCTGATACGAGGGGAAAGGCAATTCCATTCATAAATGACCGCTAGCTTTCTCCTCCTTCACCTTGTCGTGCGGTGGCATTTTCATAGCAGTAGTGCGGAGTTCCAACATCGATTAGGAATTACTGGGGCGGTAGCAGCTAGGGTGGGCATCTAGAGACGCAACTATCCCACTGCATTTCCAGCCATACACAGCAATCTCGCCAGGTATTTTCAGTTCCTTAAAACAGTATATTTGCTATCGGTTTCCCTGGAGATATGCGTGCACATCATCCAGGGCACTATCTCGGTGAGAGGACGCAGGCGCGAGCAGACATGGCTCGATGTAGTAGCGCCGCCCGTGCCTTCCGCTTGAAGGCAAAGCCACGATCATTCGCCATCACAGATAGTGGATAGGGGTTTGCATATAGACGGCAAGGTTCTGAATAACTCGATAGTGAAGAAAAAAGCAGAAAAAACATGCCAACTGCCCTAGATAGAACCCCATTTCGATCCCAGTTGCACGTGCCCAGTAAGCACCATCTCCTACACTACGTCCCCATCCGGCCAACTAATACCCCGATAAGAACTCTAGGACCGTACAAACGACGACTTCAAGCATTCTGCAGCTTCGTATTTCACTGAAAGACAAGCCTTGAAGGTGCCACTGAGAGGAGTCACTGGAAAAAAGAAGGCGTCACTGAACCTATGTTGCGCTATAGCGCCCCTCTCTTACATTTTTGCCGCGAAACCGGTACAAGGTTGTTCGTCGCGGACCACTCTACCCTCCCGACGCCATATTTTCAACTTCCATACCTGATCGCGGACCATGCTTTTAACTATATTTGTCCTGGACACTCTTCTGGCAAAGTGAGTAGTGAATAAGTCAGGAAGTAAATTGTCGGCGAGCTTCTCCTAAAATCATATCCCAGAGCTCGAGTGATAATGGATCTAATAAATCACGCTTATCTGTTTTGTAAAGAAACCACCGTGATAACCTGAAACCACAGAGGCCATACTAGGGTATCTATGAAGATGAGGTGTGAAAATTGGTCCCAGGTAGGTTCGCATGACACCACCCTTCTTAGAAATTCAACGATTTCGTGGACATTCAGCAAGTTCCGCTGTCAGCAGAATTGGCTGGATGTCCCTTAATTCCGCTGATGGCCCAACTGGTGAGCGTTTGGCCGGTATCTCCTCCACTGATAGTCTCTTAGGCTTGGTTTTGGTCATTTTTGGTCTACTCAAAATGCCTGAGAGCCCATTTTGACCTTTTTCCTCATAACAAATTTTACAGTGAGCGTATGGGAGACCAGCAGATGTGCCCTTGTGCTTAACATACTACGCAACTATCTCATCTCATTCAGCTGGACATTTGCTGCGTAGCCAGAGCTGAAAACATTTCAACAGAATGAAAATAATGCACTCCAAGGTCATCCATGGAGGGAGAAAAAGAAACATTAATTTCTTCTTCGACGTTCACGTTCGCGGTTGACATTAGTAATTCAGAAGTGCATTACTTCTAGGAAACTTGTGGGCGTCCTCTTTTGATTCTATTCAAGATGTGAATCTCGAGGGGTAGAAAAAGAGTAAGGGGCGCTAATTCAAATGAGCGGTGGATAATGAGTGATGCATTAACTAGCACAAGTCGTCATTCACGCAAAATACACTCCATACCCGGGAGATGGAGAGGGCGTAGCTGCCTACTTTGTTGGAAGGTGGAGTAGGCGTTTCTCGTGGGATATTTCCTCTTAAAACATCTGTCAGCCTGTCTTGTGCTGGATAGCGACATGATTACAATTAACCAAACCGGCTATATCCTACTGAATGGGCACAAGCAGCGACGTTCAAGTGAAGAATGGAGCCACGTCATCTGCGGAATACGGATTGTATTCCAGGGAAAGTCAGCTGGAGGGGGCATTAAAAGGGCTGCGAAACTGGGACTACGATGGTGCGAATCTCGATTTTCTTACACGTATCGGTTTATCCTTCCCATCTCGTTTTATGGAGAAATCTTCATAGCTATTATGGAATGTCCAGTTTTGTACAGCTATTCATCAAATGCTTCGCTTCCCCTGATGGACGTGCGCCCACACCTCTAGTATTTCATGAAAAAAGACCAAAAAAAGATAAAGGGCATTTCGTCATTCGCGTTCGTTCGCTTGCATTCGACTTCTATTCAAAATCGCTGAAGCATTTGAATGCTTATTTCCTATACACAATACGTCGGGCTGACGTTTGATTTGGTAGTTTACCCTGCTCAGGGGGAGAGGTAGCCGAAGGGATCTGATTAGGAGAAGGAACAAAAAACTAATTATGATCCACAATTCCTCCGCCCCCCCCCCCTCCGTTGTAGTAGCCCTTCCTTCGGCTCGATCGTCCCAAAATGGGAGCGCGAAAAGCATTAATGGGGATTTTCTACTTATTCGTCTGAAAATACAAATAGAGATAGAAGAGGAAACAAAATGACTCCTTTGGTTGGAAAAAGTGAGGACAGTGCAAATACGTCTCGATGCGTTTAGTGTGAGAAATCCACTTTGCGGTAAAAGTATGTTGCGTGCGCGGCATTCGCACCACATCCTAGATCGTTTTAATGTGGGACTGCTAACCATGTTGTGCCAACTAGCTAGAAAATGCTTTGCTGGAAACGCGAACATCCTGCATTACACTTTACTTTGGTGGGTGTTTGTGACCGCGAACATCTTTAGTGGCGCTCAATAGAGAATCTTAAGCTACACTCGAATTAGAGCGATTGCTCAGGTTTTTGCGGGAATCTTTGCCATCCTACTGACCTGCACTTAATTTCAGGAATGAATCGCCATCATTTCTCGGTATATGTTCGACATTGCAAATTGGAGGTTGTGCTGAGACGAGAGTCCGGGAGCAAGGCCGAGTTCCGAGCGGCCGAATGGAGATGGGATACACCACAGGTGAGCATGTGTTGAATTCAAGCGGAATCAAGGAATCAATGACACCGGTCTTTTTTTGGATGCACCACGCATCCAACATTCTTGAGCTATGGATATTTCACTGGTTCTTGAGCGTATGCGGCGAACTGCACAGTCAAATGTAGGGGATGTGCAGCTCGAGTTCGAGATGCCTATTACTGCCAAAGCGGTCTCATATTGATACCCGTAAATAGGGCCGAAAGTGTTGAAGTGGCCATGTTCACGGCTCATGGCGATCGAGAATCGGATTCTACCGCGAGAGCCAACCGAATTTTCTACTCTCTAAAGACGGCAAATTGGAAACAAGTTCGTCTGAAATGCTTCCAATAAGACCACCTTGATTTTGTATGAAATTAAAATGCATACCGCTTTCCCAAAAAAAGGATTGATTAGCGGCGAATATTACATTCTCAAAGCTTCATACATCGTAGAAGCGGTTATTCGGATGTTCTGGCTTCAGTCCGACCTACACAACTGCACCGTGGTGCTTCTTTCGCCATGTTTCTACTCCTTCGTGATGAATTCGTTTCCCATCGGGACCGAGGAGGATGTGTTAGATTTATCCCGTGTATCCTTCAGTCCGTCTCCTTGTTGCCAGTAAGACACGCTTAATTGCTTGACGTCAAGCTTGCAGTGTTGTGCGAGCTTTTCCGTCCAGAGCAATTTACTAAGCTGAGCCTTCGGCATTTAACTACGCGCTTGTGGGCGCATCCAAGATGAAAAGCCGCCTTGGCATGTTCAGCTTTTTTATTTGCGCTAAATATCGTGAGATAAGTAGATGTCAACCATGGAGAAAACTGAGTGATGAAATCGATCGATTTTTAAGAATGCTGAAAAGCATAGCGCTTTCTACTTCGAGGTTCTTTTTCGCCTTGGAGTTATCAATAAATCACTATTTATCTGGCTAAGCAGGCTACCTAGAACGCTTTGGTGGCGAGCCTGTGTAAGAAGACTATCCAGCCGCCGTGCTACCACTGTGTCGAAGTTTGTGATTAAAAACTCAAAACCTAAAATAACGAACTAACGAACCTTGTGCCCCCCCCTCTAGGAGTTCAAGCACGCTTACGGGAAGCACCACGGAGCGCTATTGCCCATGGCGATGAAGAAACTTGCCGCAATCCTTCTCGAACACACGCCGCAAAGTCCGCCAAGGGTGCGGGGAAACATTCAACGGGCACGTCACCGTTGATGCTATTACGAAGATTCCCCACAGTGATGTGCTCTGACGTCGTAAAAGTTTGAGCGCTGTGAGATTCCGATTTATTAATACAAGAGATATACAGAAAAAAGGGGCTCAGATGAGTTCAAAATGCGATTGAACTACCGGATGTACATTTTCCCTTTTTAAGCGATAACTCTCCTACGAGTTGGCTCGTATGGGTTATTGAGCCAGGCGACACATGTTCACGCTTCTTGAACTCTGTTTTGGTGGGCAGAGGCTAGAGGTGGAGTTGACGGCTTTTTCCCTATAAGTAACGAGTTGACACTTCTACTCGGTGCACCCATCGCCTGTCTTTGAAAAGAGCGAATCGGACGGCAGGGAGGATCGTTCTACGTTTGAAGTGGCTCCAAGGAACCGAAGTTTCACCTACAGGGGATCTGAAAGCACTCCCAGAACTACACTGAAGTGTTGAGACTGGCAAAGCGGGCGGCACACAAAGCAACTCCCTTCCTGAAAGTAGCTCTTTGTTCGTTCTGCCACGCATCAGAGCTGTAAATTCACCACGAAACTGAAATTGAAAGAGGGTGGTAACCACCGAAGGGCCTCAGTGTGATATAAAGAAAATATTACCCGTCAATGGAGAGAGAAACCCAATCGTGGGCCTGCTCGCTAACAAGGGTAGGAGGGGATGAGATGAGCTTAACTTGACCCGTCCTCTCTTAGCTGGTGATTCTGATTCATTACTAGTAAATCGGCTCTGAGTATCGCCTTACTTCGCGTTTTTCGACGCCCTTTCTTTCGCCTTCAACAGAGCAACATCAGCTTGCGCTGGGCACTCAAGTTCCTATGCGATTCATCTCCAAACTGGAATTCTCGTATCTTCGCGATGCATATTGTCGCAGTCAACCTGAACTTACTGCGCTCCTTCTACGCATCTTAGGGAGAGGGGGTTCAAAGCGGGCTTTGTCAGACGTTCGCCCATATTGATGCTGCAAAGTATTCCTTCAAGTTTTCTGAGGAAAATGCCCATTTCGCGGAAACGACGACAGTCCATTTCCATGTGGAACATCACTCTGAGGGAGAAATTGCTTCGACAAAGCGATCGAAAGATTGCTATAGTTCCGCGGGTGATTTCCCAGACGAAGGCAACGACGACGAAATATCGCTTCCGATATTTATCCAGACTTTTTCATAGTGCCTGTGTTTTTCCACTACGCGAAAAACTCCATAGCCTTTGTTACTCTCTACCGTAGTCATTCAGTTCATTAGTTATCTCTAATGAATGAAGATTATTAATGCAGTTTGTTGACTCCTCGCTTACTCCTCGCTTTTTTCATCTCTCACGAGAATTATAGTCTATGCAAATATTTCACGCCTTTTATGAAATCTGTCATATGATTTCTCATTATTAGGGAAACGTAGGCTTTACAGTAATCCAATCGATCGACGTTAGCACGGAACACCCACGTAGGCCTTAGATAGCCATGAGGGCACGTCGTACGTCGGAAATCCCGAGCGGGGGACGTATTCGGTCGGTGGAGGAGGGGCGTATTTGGTCTAAGAGAATTTTTTCGATAGTTGACTTTCCTGTTTCGAATACCCTGACCATACGTCGTCACTGTCCTGTTTGCTTGTCACTTTCGGAGGAGGGGAGGGGGCGGGGGGGGTAGTGTCCGGTCTTGAAGAGTTTTTCCGTGTGCGAGGCAAGCTTTTTCGGTTCTTGACGTTTGGTGGTTCCGGACCGAAACGGTCGCACCCTCACCCCATCTTCTCAGCGCTGATTTCGAAATGTCCATTGAGCTCGTTGATTACTGATTGCCGGCTGCTGCTCAGGAGCCTCACGTCGCAGTGGCGAGCGGCAGAGAACTGTACGGCATTCGCACCAGGAACTACGTCATCTAACTAGAAGCACTACATTCATTCAGCTAGCTATGACATAGTGCAGAGTTTGTCTGTGTTGCCGCAACATGGATCTCCCAACCGACAAATCTTGACTAATACATTTCCCTCTAGCTCTTGAAGTTTCTTTGGCACAGAAGATTTAAGTTGCTGTTAATTTCTGTTCTGATTAGTTCCATTTCCGGGTGTAGGCGGATACTGGGGAGCGAGGTGTGGGGCAGATATCTCTGCTTGAATTGAGCGTTAAATTACAGGTGTGTGACGACGAATGGCACTCATATTCGTTGCTGTTCAATGGAGTGGATGATGTGAATCTTATGATTGATGGTGCCGCCTTCAAAGCAGATGAACGAAATCCAGAAATCCTTGACGATTGGCCGCTTCATCAGACTAAAGCCGTGGTAGGACTCAAAATCAATCTAGAGGGAGAACCTTGACCGAATTTGTTGCTTTCAGAAAACTCGGCTCGTTGTCGGCGCATGTTGGCATGGACGACAACAGGCGATGGCGCAGTTTTTCAAAGGTAATATCACCACAGTTGGTTTTTCTCCTCAAGTACTTACACACTGTCGTTAAGGATCCCTTTCTGCTGTTTACCTTCTCGTTGGTGAAACTGAAAATCAAGCTGCCATCGAATGTGCACATCGTTGTCCTGAACAGCTACAGTACACTGGCATGGATGAAATCATTGATGGACAGGTGAGATTCTGCACCGGGGGGAGTAAGTCCGCTGTTGACCCTATACGATGGCACTCTCAAAAGAATCAGAATGGGTTTTTACATCGAAATCTATCTCTTAAAGTAGTTTGACCCTCAGAACGCAAATATCCCCGCAGGTATGACGCAAGAAGCCTTGCCGCCTAATTTCTGAAAATATATCCCAGTGGGGACAATAGGCTCGTATCGACCCACTAGGGAGTCTTAATAAGCGCAGCCCCTACGCATTCAGAACAGAAGAAACCTTGGAGTTGTGGGAAGTCTGCCCCCAGTGCGACCGCCGTTGATCCTCCCCATCGATACGACCCAAATTACCTCACTGAGTGAGAGGGGGGGGGCAAGAATGCATATGGTTTATATCGCCGCAGTCAGTTGGGGCGGTGTCAGGAGGAGCAAAAGAAGTCTGCTGCGACTGCCTCTTCGATCAGCAGTGATCAGGTAATAATTGAGTGAAAAACTAGGAGCGGCCCATTGCAGGCCTCCTGGAACCGCCCCGACTGATTGCGACGATACCATCTGAAAACGACAAAGAACATTAACCAGCGAAATTCCCTCCAACCAAATACGTCCCACTAGCTACTCATATATGACCCCTCAGTTTTCACTATCAGGCTTTACACTGTTTCAGAGTGTTACTTTTGGTGTCGAACAATCCAGCGTCACTGTGAAAGCAGCAAGTGAGGAAGAAATCAGCAAAATGCTCCGCCGGGTTCGTTCACTATAGTACTTCAGTATGACTTTAGATCTGAAGAGCTTCATTTTCAGATCTCCTATGTAAATACGCAGGAAAAACCAATCCCAGGACATCGGCCTTGGATTCTGACCACAGTTGTAGAGTGCTCGCAAGGGAAGCAGGTGGGACTTGGTGTCTTATTAACCTGACAGTTTATCTGATAGGATGTCCCTCTGTTTGTTGGAATTATTATTATAAAATCGAAAATTCCCCGTTTCGATTCGAGTTATCGCCGAACAATTCTTCTACATTGATGAGCAGTACAGGGTCTTTAAAGACAAAACGCACGGTCACCAGCGATGTGCATCCTTGGCATGTGCAGGGCTAATAGGTCCGAATATGCGCAGCTATGGGGATTCAGGACCGTGGGACAGGCTGTCCTCCATCCGCCTCGAAGGTAAATTATGCCGCAGACCCAATGCCTCTGCATTAGTAAGTGAGATAATTCAAAATGATATTTATACCAGAGAGTATCGGAGGTATAAATTATGCCACAGACAAGCTGCAGCCGCTATCACATTCCGGTCGCATCTGTTGGGACCAGCGTCCGCACAACGCACATCGCTCGCGGCGCCCCAGGCCCACCGAGTGTGATGTGCGTTCCGAATACGATTAAAACACAAGCTCCTGATGCGATAACAGTTCAGGCGTTTCTCATGCTGCAAACTCTGAATCAGATGATGAAGAGGGCTGGGATTGCAAAGCAACTGTACTGCTTTCGCAATATTCCGGGAGCCGCGCATTCCCACCAAACATGAGACTAAAAACGGCCTAAGCATCCTCCTCGTTAATTCATGACTTTTTCATGGCTCTGGAGCCAGAATCGCGCCGTATTGCAAAGTCTTACATTGGCTCACAAACAGTTCACGTTCGTTTACATTTACATAGTTACTCTTCAACTCGGATGGTTGCTTTTTGGTTAGGCGGAGTAAAGTCATAGCCTATCTCACGCTTTTGGTCCCATTCCGGCGCACGGTCGTCCAGGGGAACGCTACGCACGACGCCGGAGGTCTGTACTCCCGGGCATCACAGGTTGAGCGGCAGGAGCGTGCGTTTTGTCGTCCAAGACTAGACCACTTGTGGGAAGAAACCTACGCATGAAGTCTCGACTTTCAAAGGGAAGGCTCCTTCATGCTGCATCACTGTGTGGAATACAGCCGCTTCGTCGCTACTTTGTCAAATCCTTCAAATCCTTTCCTTTTTCGATTATGTACCCGTAATCGAGTGTTCTTTTGTTTCCTATAATCGCTCTCGGATGACGCCATGAAAAGTGGCACGCTGTGAAAACGAAAAAAAAACCAGAGCCGTACTGTCCCATTATGCCCTTCTCTCGCTGAATACCGAATGTGATGTTCTATGTAGTTTCGATAAGTTCACTGGGAAATCAAGACGTGCATCTCGGTCATTGATTTAGGGTGAACAACTCGGAGTGGGTGACTGTTTATGAGCCCGCAGTACATAAGGTTCACGTTGAAGGCAAGAGGAACGATGGCTAGATGATGGATATGAGGCTTATCACACGATCCAAAATTCCGGGGGCGGTAAAGCAGCACCTTCGGCTGGGAGGTCAGTGTCGAAACAGGCTCGTGTGTCGGCTGACCTTCGCAAGTCATTGTACAGGTGACAATGATAGGTTAGATTTTTCGAGAGGAGGTTCCAAACGCTCATTCGAAAATTTCACGATCTCAAAGACATATCTGTAGCAAACACGGGAGCGTTACTGCGTAAGTACAAGACCTTGTTTGACCCTCGGTTGGAACCAGTATTGCAGTATTAAGCTCCACGAGAAGAACCGCATTCATGCTTGTGCAGGCGATATTGATAGGTCAGACTTTTCAGAACATACTGAAAGGAGGCTCCAAACGCTCAATCGCGCAAATCTCAAAGACCTGTGTCAAATCTTCGGCACAAAATCTTGGCCCGAGCATGGCGCACTAATTCTACTATGACTCGGACGTGGCCTGTGAGAAGCTGCCTGTGCTGCTGTCCCAACAAAGCTGGCAAAATCACGCAAGAAATATGAGAATAAGAGCAAGAAGATTCTCAGCGAAGGATTCTCATTAAAAGGGTGACATCATCATCAGCCGCTTGCGTAATGTGGCAAAAAGGCAAGATTAAGAGGAGGTCGGAGTAGTTGAACGGGAGAAAATGAAAAGAAAATGCTCAAGGGTTGATGGCAATCCCCTTAGAAGTCTCCTCTATCCATGCAAGGAAATCATTTGACTTTATGGATCCTTGGTACACACAACTTTCTTAAGATGATTACGGTAGAAAAGAGACGAAAAGGGGACATTCAAAAGAAGAAGGAGGAGAAAAAAGAGCTTGCGACGATTGACTGCTTGATACTGATAAGAGCTCGACGCCTAGTATACCAGATTACCAGAGTCATTTGAAAATGTATCCGCCTTCAAAATGAGCTGCTGGGCTAGCTGATTTTCAATTAAACGTTTTTGTCGCCCCGGGCAATTCCTCTCTCAATGCATCGTCCCGCAGAGATGCAAATCTCTGCTGGTCTCTCTGCGATTCCATGCCGAGCCACCCAGTACAATTCATGGTGGGATGGGATTTGAAAAACTGCTCCATATGGTCCATGGAATTTGTTGCCATATAAGGGACAATAGTGACTCTTCTTCTTGCCAGCTTGGGGAGCACTTGTAGTCAAGACAAGTCCTGCGACTGAGAATGGAAAGAGTGAGAATGGAAATTTGTGGTGATAATTCGCATTGGAACGCAGCGCAGGTACATCGACGAAGCTGTTCTTGGTATCTTAGCAAGTGGCCGAAACAGGTCTTCCGACCCTCGTTAAAAGAACTATCCGCGACGACCTATGAACGTGCAAGAGGTTATGTGGGAAGGTAGTGCGATCCGGAGTGGACAACCCTGTGCCAGTTTCGCGGCGGAAAGTTGTATGGTAAAGGAATTGAGGCGCAAACTTGCTTCAGTGGTACATCCCTTTTTCCAGTGACTCCGCCTCCAAAGTCGGCTTTCTAGCCAAAAGTAATGTATCATGGAGTGGATGCGTTCAGTGTCTCTTGTAGAATCATAACGTTGGGAATCAGCCGACGCTAATCGTGCCAGCGCGCGGTCTTTTCGGTCTTTTACCTCTAAAGTTGTCTGAGGCTGAAGGAGCCCTGACGAATGCGTTTCCGACCTTCCCTTTGGCATTTTCTCTTCATAGACGATTCACTTGGCGAATTTTCTTCACATTTCTGCAACATCACATGGGCTTTTAATCGTGGACCATGCCTTTAATCCTGCAAGGTAACTGAGAGTACCATTCAACAGTTTCCCATCCCGGGTACCAGAAAACGCCCAGAATCGTTACAATACTACTACAGACTTCCCCGGAAGTTAAACGTCAAGCACTGAGCGCTCTTGAAAAACGAGCTAAGAGAAAGTATTTTGATGTCCTCAGCTGTACTCCCTTGAGCAACAGCGATTAGCTGAGAAACTAATTTGTATATTCTTGCATGTATCGCTGCCACTCTCATGTAATTGCGATAACGCACTGAGGAGACAAATCGATGGGAGTGCGCATGCAAGGGTTCCGAAAATGAGCTGAGCTTTCCTGAAAACGTAATCTCGTTATGTGGGGGTTCTCATATGTGGATATCCTTTTCTGCGTCGAATTGTTAATTAAGTAGGAATTGGGAGGGAGGACTTACAGGTCAGCAGGGTTGGGTTGGTTTTGCGCATCGCCGTAACACGGATCTCTGACCTGTGAACATGGGGAACGTCCTCATACTGATACTTCTATGATATTATCGCACCTTATTGGACGCAAATCACGATCAGCCGAGCAAAAAGTTCTATGCATGACTGAAGGGTTACTGCGACTTGAAAGCGAGAGATAAGGACGGTGGGAGCTCCTCCTTGCGCGCACCATCCGCCCTTCGCTGCAGTTGCCTTCCTGGAAAATGGTCATGAATGTTTTTTAACATCTCCACATCATTTCCGTTCCTTGATCTTGGGTCTTTTCTGGAGGCCAGCCTTCTGCATGCAATGTACAGAATCAATTATAGAACATGGGGTCTCACTAAACGCGCTTCTGGCAGTTTCATTGGCGTTTTGATTCACTACTGCAGGGACATCCGAGCTTCGAAATCAATATTGAGTGTGTTCTGGGATCCTAGAGCACTGCACGAAGGCATCTAATGTCTCACTTCCTTGATCGCGCTATGACATCGCAGTAAAGCTTCACTGTTGGAAGAACTGCTAGTAGAACCCAATTTCAGTTTTTTGATTCTATTCCATTGGATAAAATCGCAGCTAGTCAGAAAAGAGCAGTTCATGCAGGGATAGGCTTGTTGTACCATGTAAGCTGACATGAGTGCAGGCTCACTGGGTATGTTTCGAACGCTGGTGAAACGCTGGCGTAACGCTGGCGTACGCTAGCGTTACGCTGGTGACGCTGGGAACGCTAGATCGATATGCATCCTCTCCCCGGCACTGCCGCTGGCGTACGCTGGAAGCGCTACCGCCGCAAAGTATAAACGCAGCCTTACTCGAGAGGGCTATTCTATTTAGGTGGGGAATCCCGTACCTCACTTGCTAAGAGGGGTCTACATTAATGGGATGGGCGCTGGAACTTGAAAAGAATCGAGGTATTCGCTTTTTTCTCCCCCCTTTTCGTCCTTGCAGTCCTAGCTTTCTGTAGTTCACAGCGCAGTGGTAGAAGACTACTTCCCGTCGCGCTGGGGAGGAGATTGGGAGGTAATGGAAAAATCTTCGTCGTGGCGATGGTGAGCCCTCTTTCAGGGCACTTGCTGCTGTTAGGGGAAAATATAGCTAACGACGAGGCAGTACCAGAGCACATCATTGTGTGGGGATTTTGGTCGAGACCGTACCACCCCCTCCCCCGCTTTTTTTCGAGGGGTTGGTAGTACCCTTCTGGTCCCCTCAGCTCAATCTCCAGCTCCTCGCTGGCGATTCGCCAACGTTACAAAGCCCAGTTCTTAAATGAGCGCGAGTTTGGGAAATTGTCTTGAATATCGAGGCGGAAATTGAACCACTTCTCTGAATTCTGTTCTCCTTAAAAGTGACTAAATAAAGATATTAGAACAACCTAATAATATTTATCAACGGAAAAAAAGTTAGGCACAGAAAACTGAGTCCACCTTCAATGTTATGAGGTTACAGTAATCAGAAC